TATATATATATATATACATACATCTGTATGTATGTATATGCATGCATACTTATATACATTTTCATGTCTCTGTGTACATATGATGCCTACGACTAATGTGTATGTATGTGTGCGCGTGTGTGTCCCCAAGGTTATATGTGCAACGAACTGATTCCTTTTCATTGGTTGGTTACAGTAAACACGAGTCGTGTTCCAGCACTCCTGCTTCAGCTGTTACTCGTGGTGGGTGTTTAAATCCTCATGTTGACTTGAGGCGTTTTAGGGGTATGCGGTGGGAGGCATGCGGCTGCCTCTCTCTATCTCCCCATTTTTCTCTTGTTGCTGCTCCTGTTCATCACAGGAATAATGCCTCTTCCCTCTTTTTCCCTGTCGACTTTGCCTTTGACACTCCCTCCCCTAACAAGACAGTGCGGCGGCGAATGGCTTTGTCTGCATATGGTGAGTCTCGCCCAGCAATCTCTGTGCCGCACACCGTGCGCCATGGATATGCTGCAGGAACGCGCACATTCATCACACTGCAGCCACCACCACGACCGTCCACACAACAGTCCGCAACAGCAAGAAGAATTGGCGGCAGCGGCGGCGGTGGCAGCAGCAGCAGCAGTGGTGGTGGTGCCACTGGCAACAGTATTCGCGTTGGTAGCCCAGGACCGTCCAGGTTTTGCAAACCCTTTGCCGCCACCATGCCGGTGATGCGGCGGCGTACGGTGCCACGCGTGGCATCGGCGCTTCAGACACGACTCCTGCGCGTCGCATTGACAACAGCGGAAGTAGTGCCAGCGGAGGAGGATTGCGCAGCGGCAACAATAACATCAACAATGTATAAATCGGATGAATATGGTGATGAAGGTTTAAGGCTCACGGACCATCAGCAGCGCATTCGCGACCACGAACCCTGCCATGCTCAGCTGCTGCAGAAGGAGCGCGAGCAGCACCGCGTCGCGATGGACCGAGTGCACCAAAAGGTGGGCCGCCTCAAGTCGTATGTCGAGCGTGAGCGCGCAGCACACGCGGCAACGTCGCGGCTGGTGCTCCTTTCACAGCAGGAGGCCTGTGCGGCAGAAGAGACGGCAGCACGGAACGCCGTTGCTGCGACCGAGGCGCGGGAGCTGTTGGAGCTTCACCACCGCCTCTTCCTGCAGCTTGTGTTTGTGGTGACGGCAGGCCCAGGGCTGCGTGCGTGCAACAACAGCAGCAGAAGCATCAGCCGGAATGAGAGTGACGCACCGCCGCAGATGTTTAACGCCCACGACAGCGACCTCCTGCGGGCATTGCAGCGAGCGGAGGCGCGCATTGCGCACCTGGAGACGCAGCATGAGCAGTGCTGCTGCTCCGCGTCCTTGAGGCCGTGCGATGGCAGGGTGGATGGCGTGGAAGAATCGGGACTTCACTCTGGCACAAAACCCGTATTGGCAACGGCAGCAGCGGTAGTCGCTTCAGAAGGAACATCAGCAGGGGGTGAAGCGTTGCACACCGTTCATAAAGAGGTGACGGCAACGTGCAGAAGCGCTGTGCCCTCGTACACCCCGCTCGCCCCATATATTTGCACCGTGTATGCACCAAACTACGGTGCCAGATGATATCTCCGCAATGATGGCTTTTCAAAAAATAAGCCATGTGTGGAGAAGTATGTGTATTGGGTTGTGTTTTTGCTAGTGCGCACGCATGTTGAATTTTTACTAGGGCATTTAAAACCCCCAAAAAATTATTTATCTTCTTGGCCCCCTTTTGCATTCCTGCCTCACGTTTCTCTTGGAACGTAGTCGACTGAAAATGGGAAAACCTATTAATGACGTTTGGGTTGTGTGCATCCGCATGTGTGTCAGCAGCAGCTGCGACTTATCCTTGTTGTAGCCTGGCAGTTGCCACATGCGTGCGCTTGTTTCTCAATATTTACTTTCTCTTCCTATCTTGTGTGTGTGGCCCTGCACGTTGGTGTCGCAGAAGGGGCGGAGGTGAACATCAGCGTCTTTCCTCTCACCACAAACCCACATACAGAATTGACTTTGCTTGCTGCCACAAGCGAAGAGCATTGTTGGTCACTCAATAGGAGTAGGCGTGGCAAAGAGAAACAGTCGAGCCAGTTTGGCAGCCTCGCAACAGCGCCTCGTGCCCCCAGCGAGAAACAACAACAACAACAACAGCAGCAGCAGGAGTGCGTGAGGCGAAGCGTAGCGGTGAGTGTGTGACAGGATGAAGATCAAGAAGAAGGAACTGCGGAGGGGTGAGGCGCAGCTGCCCATCAACTACCCTGACCCGGAGGTGGTGGACGCCGCCGACTTCTGCTTCGACGCAGAGCGGACGCGCGTGGAGGAGTTGTGCAAGCGCCTCGCCCACAATGAGGTGGCGGTGCGTGACGCCGTGCTGGCCGCGCTGCCCCAGTACATCCGCGACGTGACGCGGCGCCTTGCTGCTGCCGAGGCGC